CAATAGCATTTCACATCCATCCAAAGATGCACTTTACGGTTCCCTGTATGGAGCCGCTTTGGCTAAATACAAAGAAAAGTGGATGTTAATTTAAACCAGATTGCCTTTTCAGTTCAAAGGGTATGATTTCATATATTTTCATACTTTTGTTTAAAAATACCCACGACCCTCCTAGTTGAGTTGGTGTTTTGGTACATTTTTATGAAATCTTAAGTAAAAAGATGAAAATGAAACACCAAAGTCTAGTTTACATTTTGTCTTAATCGTTACAATTTATTTTATTTTTGCGGTTACTGCTGCTCATTTTCTTAACTTGCCCAATAGTTTCATATACTTTTAACTCTACCTCTGTGATACACTGTAGAATTATGCACCTCATTTACAATTTATTCTACATAAATATCCGGGTTATATTTTAAGTGGTCTTTATTTCTTCATTTTGCTTGTTCTTATATTTCTAAGGGAAACTGTTCTCAGTCCCCCACAGGGATCAATCCATTATTGTGATTCTGATTCGTGGGAGAGAGGAAGAGAGGAAACGTTTACAAGGCGAGTTAAAAAGCGGCTCCATGGAAAAGGGGCCCCTCCTGCTCGGCGGCTTCCCTCTCCTCCCGGCAGCCATTGTTCATCGTCTATCTAATTAGCCAAAGTCCGGTGGGCGGATCGGTCACGCAGGAAGCGCACCAACACACTCATGGAAACGCACGACACTACAAAACAGACACACATATATCAGCACTAGTAAAACTTTCACTATCCAGCCCCGCCCAGCTCGTTCGTCTCTCCGTGTCTTCTTGCTATTGCCCCCCCCCCCGCCTCCATGATTAATGGAGATCTGTCCCCTTGAGTCCTTCGCAATCTACTTCTCCCAAGAGCGCCTGGGCTTTTTAGAACAATCCCTGCGTTCCTTAGATGGGAGCTTATCGGGTTACCGGAGACAAAAACCCGACAGAAACGAACGTCGCCGAATGCGTTTGTGTCTCTTTCGCATTGGAGGGTCAGTTGACTCGCTCCGTCCCTCCGTCCCTCGGGCCCCTGCTCCTGCTCTCGTGTGCTCCCATTGTTAAATAAAACAAATACAAACACACCCGCTGGTGCGTCAGCCAACCAACTGCCTCCTGAAAAACAGCCCACGCTGATGTAACAAACGCTTATCTGTGGCGTTACATCACAGAGACGTCTGTCCTTGACCTTTAAATGCTGAACATTGGAAATACAATGACAACGTGGATCTTATTTTATCGGCCTTATAAGGTGACAAGCTGACATTTTTATGCCAACAGCTGACTGCCCACAAGCGGCCCAAAAGGTTTCGGTATAAACTAGGCTTTAGCAGTCAGAGTGAATTCATTTATGAAAAAGCTTATTTATAATTTTATTAATACATTTGAGTTATTTTGAAATCTCCCAAACTTCACGGCTTGTTGTTCTACTCCCGCCCACAGCTTCACGCGTCGCTGAACACACTCATTCGGGTTCACACCGTCTGGCGTAGAAAGAATTGAGAAGCACTCGACTTTGTGGGCCGATTTGCAAGTTGTTCCAACTTGAACGACGTTCCCATAGAAACTCATTTTTCCTATTATTCCGACACCAAAGGAATGCAGCACAAATGCCCCGTCTCGCCACGCAAAACAAACAAACAAACCGACCGATCCAAAAAAAACACTGCCTCCTCATCTCTGGTCACCATCGTGAGGATGTAACCGTTAGCGGCACTGAAAGACCGAACCTTTAATCATTTGAGAAAGCTTAGTTGATTCTGAATGACGCCAATCAAAATCAAACCAACTTGAGCTTTTCTCTATTATTATTATGGAATTGATTAAAAAGCTTACCAAGATTCATTACATTTGTAGGGAAGAACCAGCCACGGTCCCTCGACCCACTGCAGGCTCCACGTTTTAGCCCTCAGCCGATTGGCGACGGGACGTTCAGTCACTGCAGTCAAACTGTCAGAGGTGCCAGATGTTTCCACCGTTCCCCTGTTGTCCTTTTACTACCGTCCAGCGACTCGCTCGTGTGTGTGAAATATTACAAACTGGACCCATCAGATGAAAGATGATCACGTGAGGGGAAATCTGTGACCACCGACCATAAACATCCATGGGAGAAAACCCCGGTCATTCACGCTGTAATAGATGGCACAAAACATTATCATTGAACATTAAATGCCCGAATGAGCATGATTATTTAGGGGTGAAATGCCTCTTTTTTTTTTTTAAAAGAGTTTTTTTTTTTTTCCCAGAGCAAAACAATGGCGTTTCAGGTGGGAATGCGGAGGAATTGTAATGAGGCAACCTGGTGCCGCTGTGATGAGTCATAACTTTCTCTGCGCGTAAATATAGAACACCTACATGGAGCCTTTGTAACAGGAGACAAACGGCAAAGAGCACAGGCAGCTCCGCAGGACGCGTCACGCCGTGCGTGTGCACATCGAGGAGCCTCTTAACAGCTGTACCGTCACCACGACCCCCCCAGCCAGGGCCGCTTCTGTCGGGCTCCACGCCGCTGACTCTGGCGGGTTGCGGGTGAGGGGATGAGTTTCACGTTACAGTTGAGCGATGGGGGGGGGAGGAGGGGAGTGAGGAGGGGGGGCATGTGGTGGTTAGCGCTGGTGTTAGAGGTTTGTAAGTGGACACAAGTCAACCGAATGTCATCGGCCTAAAATTACAAGCGCGCGGCAGAGACGGAAAGAGAGACACCGTAGAAGACGGGAAATCAAGACCGAGGAGACGGGATCCGCTTCCTCACAGTGCTTCATACCCAAAATGGTGTCATTACACCGTTTGCATAAGTGGCGATAGATGATTGAGGAAATTGAATTATCTACAGAATTTCAGAAAGTTCATGTCCGGCTCATTACGTCATTTGTGGTTGTGGTGACCTTACAGGCTACCGGGCTGCACGTCTCCAACGCTTTCTGGGACGATGTCCTTGCAGATATGTGGGACTTGGCCGTCTACCGATCTGCAAAGAGTTGCTGCATGTGGAAGCGACTGGGATCGTTATGTTATCTGAAAGGCAACCTCGTTGCTTTACCCAATTAGAACGAAATGCGAATAAAAATACATGACTCATTTGTTAATTATTTTTTTAAACTTTGATGATGATCCAGTAAACAAATTCTTCAAAGTAAACTGGAATTGGTTCTCTGCTGGCGTCTACTGTTTCTCCAAAGACATTGGGCGAGCCAGAGAGAGAGATGCAGCCCAGTGCATCGTTTTCCCCTGAATGGTGAGTTTTCCCAGTTAAAGTTCAGCAGCAGCTACCTCGTCGTCCTTTGTCGTGGAGCGAGAGCAGCTTCGAGCTGAATATCTATCCCACGCTCTGGATTGGGACCTGTGAGTTTCGGGTGCGTGAAGCGGCCTGACCCGCGTGTAGCGCTGATGCTGATCCGTCTGATATCGCAGCGAGCTCGACATTCAGGTGGATTCAGGTCCTGAGGAGATAAAGCTGGTTTCATCCTCGGCCAGCAGCTAATCCGACGTATATTAGAGAGTGATGCACCTCTGACGTGATTTATTACCTCGGGAAACATCAGTTTCCCTTCATGGCCTCGGCCTTTTCTGACATCTTCAGCAAACACGTGAGAACTGGAGCTTTGAGAGGAGGTTGTGAATAGCACGGCAGCACTGTAAACACACGGCCACGTCTGAAGGCCGCGCGGGGGTCGTGGTTATTTTCGTCAAATACAAAATGTCAAATAGTTTTGCTACTGATATAAACTCTGGGAACGTCGTCAAGCAAATGCGTCGTTTGGAAGTAAGAAATGGTTTCACGGTGCTTTGAAAAAAAAAAAAAAAAGGGTAAAGATTATGTTTGGAGATTGTATGTGTTTGAGGGACATTAGACAGCCGGGGGAAGACAGGAAGTATACGGGCAGCGGTCACCGATGGGAGGGAGCTGCTTCTGGGTAACAGATCACCAGCTCTCACCGCCGACACAAAGCTACGTTCCGCTTCGCTCCGTAGAATTATTTCCTGTTGTTTTCTCGATCGGATGACACACAAGTTTTTTCACGACCCCTCCCACTGAGTGGCCTTTGTCTCACTGATGACTAATGCTTTCAATGGATTCCCTTTCTTAACAGTGAGCCTCCGGCCACCTATGAAACTGATTTACCTAAACGCTGTGAACGCAGCGACTGTGGGCCAGAGCCATAACGCGGGGATGGAGGAACGTTTTCTTCCTGTCACTTCTTCTCTACACTAAAGCGGTGTGGAACTTTCATGCGGGTGACATGACGCGTTTTTTCCAAAGCGGCGCTCAGTTCTGTCATTGTCATTTTTGCAGTGCGTTTTCGGTTCGGCTCCATAAATCATAAGGGAAGAAAAGGTGCTTGTTTCCAGGTTTATTAAATATGCAAAACAAAACCAAATGATGGTTTGGCAAAAATAAACACAGTCGAGTTGTGGAAGTAAGCTCAAAGCACAAAGGTTTTTTACTTTTATATATTCGTCACCTGCAATTGACTCTTTTTGAGACACAGCTGTACAAATCTCGATACAAAAGCCTTGGACTCGTGCCGAGGAGTATGACAGCTGCACTGCTCCACTTAAACAAATACACACACACACAAACCAGCACAACAAACCTGCAGATTGGAATACTGGTGTGATGAGAGTGAGAGACACAATATAGTTCATGTTAAAGTGTACTGGCTCTGCTTAACACATTTTCTTATCTTCAACTTTTATCAGAAAATATCCATATATCCATAGTTGTTACTGTTTTAACCTTTAATTACTTGTTTGATCCCTTTGTATTTGCATTACCACCATGAGCACCGACTCGATTTCCCTGACAAGAAGTTGCTGCCTGCTATTAACAACACAACTGCATGTGTTTTTATTCGTTACTACTGGATTCCTAGACAGCTATCAACCTATATAATATATATATATATATATATATATATACATATACATATACATATACACATATATACATATATACACACACACACACCGAGTGCAGCCACCGCGTGGAGGACTCACCTACAATGAACCACAGCAGCGCTTGTCTCCGCTGAGTCGCGCCGGTCGGCGGTCCCATCCTGTCGCTCCGCAGGCTCAAGTTATACGGGCTGGGGGGTCTGGGGGGGGGGTCCGGGGGTCTGGGGATAAAAGGGGCTGGGGTGTCTGGGGGGGTTTGCGGTGCTTGGAGCAAACGAGAGAGACCTCACAGAGTGAGAGGCGGCATCGCAGAAAACAGCAGGTGAAGAAAGCCCCCGTGCCGCGGCGCTCCGGTGGGGGATCCTCTGCCGTAACCCCCCTCAGAGGTGAGTGGAGGTATTTGGGGGGCTTGGATGGAGGGGGGGGTTGCACTCGAACTCCCCCGACACTTCCTATCACCGATCCTCTGTCATCCGCGGGAAACACATATTGACTGTTGAAGTTGCAGCTGTGTTTCTTTTGGGTGAAGGAGGAGGCGCCGGAGTCCCGACGGCGCGTTTCTATTGGTTAATCCGAGACCGGCTTCAACGACCAATTAAATACATTTTAAATAAAGGAAAATACACCGATGAGCTAAAAAAAAGGCAATCGAAGACTGTGCGGCTGATTGTGGTCCCGGAGATTGTTGTGACATAATCTGAAACAGAATATCTGTATTATAGAGGCACGTGTTGTAGATTCTCTTTAGAGTTGTTGTTGGTGTTGTGTTGTTGGTGTATAATGAAGGAAACAAGGAACAATAAAGCAAACAGTCCCCCAACTCTCACGAAACGTTTTCAGGAAATGTAATTCCATGGGTTTAAGTCTGGTGCGGTGTGTTAACGGTGTGTTTGTGCGCGTGTTTGTGCGCGTGTTTGTGTGAGTGTGATGTGAGTGTGATGTGAGTGTATCCGCTGATTCAGGATCGTATTCAGAGCTTCTCAACGCCGCCACCCAGTGGTCACTTGCTGCATTACCACGCGGACGATGTTTTCTATACTGTTTCTTTCTTTACTATTTATTTGTATTCCTACAGATGACGATGAATGATTACACTGCTTAGTCTATTGGGACTCAATACATTTGATCCAGCTCAATCGTGCTTGTAATAGAACAGAGAGGTAAACAATGTGTCATAAACCATAACTCACCTTTTTTTCCTTTCATTTTTTAAGAACAACCCTTTTGTATAACATGCCCAATACTGCAATTTGTAACAGTTTAAATAGGTTTAACATGAAATTCACAGTAATACAGGAAAAAAACCTGCCGCAGCCAACACACCTATGGAACAGGAATGACCAGTAGCAGATTACTTTATTTTATCCTCCTCCTGTCTGTCTCCCTCACTGCTGAATCAAGCAGATATGCCAAAACATATTCTTTAAAATAATTCTATAACTCCTATATTTCATCAAAAAGTGACATAAATCAACTTGTTCAAACTCCACGTTGAAATTATATGTAGTAAAAGTGAAGATGAATCACAGGTTGTCCACAATCATTTTGAATAAAGTTGTGTGAATTTCAATGCGTTTGGCCAAAAAGCAGTTTGTTATGACTTCATTCCTTATTCCACAAAATCTGCTCGTGTCTCACCCCCTCTCTGTCTGATGTTGTTCATGACTATTATTATTTATTTGTGTATACGCTCCCAAATTATACCAAGTTACAAAAGTTTGAAAAACTATGGACCCTATATATATGTTGGTGTGAATGTACATTTTGTAACCCAAGCTGTTGGACAATTTTTTTTTAAATAAATGCACAATAAAAGATATCCTATTACATGTTTCACCTTTTTCACCGAACAGTCTTGCTTTAAACATACGGGAGCCATTTGAAGTGCAGAACAATCCTCTTTTTTGCTGTCGTTCAGTTGGATCTCAGTGAAAAGGCAGAAACATGACGCATCCATGCGGGTTGAAGAGGACGAAACCTGTTGTACAATTATCCACACACATACTTAGCCGTAAACACCACCAACCAACCTTACCATGAATCCTAAAGTCTTTACCCTCACATGTAATGATCCGATAACTCAGGATGTCAGGTCTTCCTCTCCATCCTGTAGGTGATTACAACTCCTCCCAGCAGGAGGACTCAGGAGGAGGAGTTGGTGACAACCTGTGTGAGGGCCTCCTCCTCCGCCTTCAGAGGGCTGGTGGTGTTTGCAGGTCGTAGTGAGCACAAAAGCCATCCGTGGTCTCTCAAACAGCTCTGATACGCCGTGTTCACTACGACCTTCAGCGCCAGACCACAAGTTAGCAACTGGAGAGTTAACATAATGGAGCATTTGGCAGCTAAAGACCTAAACAGGAGTTGCAAGGAAAAAATACATTGATCAGGTGGTCAAAAAAAAAAAAAAACTGCAAGGAAAGCTAACGTGCGAGTAGCCCCCAAATGCTGATAAAATGTCAGTGTTGTTTTGGCAACTTTGGGCGTCCTGAAATCAGGTCTGCTGTAAAGACGTGGGGAAATACTGAGTTTGATTACAACAGCACATGTGATCTGCTTTGGGAAAGCCGAGATTATCCAGTGATTTGTACATTCTGAAATTTCTTTCAAAAAGAATTATAATCTGATTACTAGTATGCTGTTAACAAACGTTTTTGTAAACTGAAAAGGGATCCACCCCAACAATCGCACCCTGCACCACTGTATCCCAGCACCACAGTGTTTTCTATTTTTATAAAATGATATTAAAACTTTGAACGACAAAAAACTTTGTTTGATATATTATTGATTACAATCATTGAATTCTCCTTTCGGTAAATAAACAAATGTTGCTCACACTAGGCCACTTCACCTCACGCTATCAGCCTCAATTCAAAACACACACTCCTTTAAAAATGTCTCCCTACTCACGATGAAATGTCTTGTGCACACAAACCGCATACCGAGTTCATTCATGATCCGTTAAACCTCCACGCTGGCACTGAAAGCCTGCACTTATGTGGGAGGGTGTAAGAAAGGCCCGTTTGCCTTTAAGCGAACACCCTGCTGAGAGAGTGTGCGAGTCAGTTTGCATGGAGGCCGGCGACACACAATCAAAGTGAGGAGAGGATGGAGAACCAAACAAACACAGAAAGATAAAAGCTAGTAGACTTTTCAACACACCTTGTGTGACCAGAACCGGGTCTGTGAGCGGGTGTGGACACTAGCACACCAGACCGGGTTTCTACCCTACAGCCACACGGGGGGGTAAGTGCTTCGGTGGTTCAACCAGAAGACAAACATTCGGGAGTAGTAATTGGCTGTAGATAAATGTGTGTATAGATCTGTGTGTGTGTGTGTGTGTGTGTGTGTGTCTCCGGTAGCTGACACTTAGCTGCCGTACTGCCACATTATGGACGTCCCTGTAGATGCAGCGGACGAGCAGGACAGCTGGTTAGCTGGAAGAGAGGAGCAGGTGGGAGACCTTTAAGTATCTCACAGGCCCACTGCTCACTGCGCTGTGACGTCTCTGCACAGTGACGGAACTACTGAACAAAAACACACTTTATACCAAGGGATAACTTAATTAGCATAAGACAAAAAAACACCTCAAATGCCACGTTTGAGTTGGATTCAGAACTACGCTTTGATCTTGGAACATTGGAAAAAAGGTTCCATCACGTTATTAAGGAAACGATTGCCTGTTTTGTTGTGGTTTGTTTTGTTATCTCTTCCAGAAGTGTGCTGCCTTGCTCTATTTCTTTTACCAGACATTTTTTATACTGGGAAATATAATAAATTGCTCACTTTTGTTCTCTCCGTATGGGCGGCACGGTGGCGTGGTGGTTAGCACTGTCGCCTCACAGCAAGAAGGTCCTGGGTTTGATTCCGCCCAGTGGCCTTTCTGTGTGGAGTCTGCATGTTCTCCCCGTGTCTGCGTGGGTTCTCTCCGGGTTCTCCGGCTTCCTCCCACAGTCCAAAGACATGCTCTGGGGATCAGGTCAATTGGGGACTTTAAATTGCCCGTAGTTGTGTGAATGTGAATGGTTGTGTGTCTCTGTGTTGCCCTGCGATTGGCTGGCGACCAATCCAGGGTGTACCCTGTCTATCGCCCGAAGTTGGCTGGGATGGACTCCAGCCCCCCCGCGACCCTGTGTGCAGGATAAGCGGTCTGACAATGGATGGATGGATGGATGGATGTTCTCTCCGTCTGACCGTCCGCCACAGTAAGGACTCCTCTCGGACCCTCAGAGTTTCAGGGGGCTGCGATGAAACTATCGATCTATTACTGAGCCAAAAAATGTCCTTTTTTTCTCTGTGGGCTTGTTAGAGGAGGACAGAACATTTTATTTTCAGTCCAAAAATGGAGAAAAAGGATTATATAGAGAACAAAAAAATGTGACGTGGGTTTCTTGAATACCTACTGTCTATTTAAAACATATCAAACTATTGGCTTGTTCAAGCCAAAAAGAAGTACACAATCACGTCACCTTCTGAAGTGAAGGGAGTGACTGGGTGGGAGTGACTGGTGGGAGGGGTCTCTCACACAATACGCCCTCTCAGCTGGGAAACCTGCCTGTCCGTCTTGTGCCTCAGCCAGACCATCGGGGTTGAGACGCGGAGAGGACTGAGCAGATCAGACGGACGTGGCCAGAATACCATCAGAATACCATCAGAATACCTTCAGAATACCTTCAGAATACCATCAGAATACCATCAGAATACCTTCAGAATACCATCAGAATACCATCAGAATACCATCGGAATACCGGTACAATCGTCAGCGTGAAATAAACAGAGAGGCTATGGAGGCCGAGTGGACCAACAGGCTCAGAAACAGGTGATGTTGTTTTCTCTTTTAAGTGTACCAATATGTTGTATACGATTATTGACGTTAAGTATGTTCTATATGATAATAAGCATTTTTTAATCTGGGATGCGAGTGTTTAGTCGTGTGCCGGCGATGCTGGTTTACTTTAAATAAAATAAGGATTAAATGGGTTGGATGAAGACAACATTATTTGGCTTCTTTAAGGCCAGAAATGTATTAACTTTGGATTAATTATAGTTTTGTCAGTGTGAACACAAAGAGAATGCGATGGATTCAGGTTGGTGTTACTGTGTGTGTGTGTGTGTGTGTGTGTGTGTGTGTGTGTGTGTGTGTGTGTGTGTGTGTCAGATAGGGGGAATCCCCTGTTTCCAGAACACCATGGAAACACTGACAGACATCAGGCAGGCAAACCAGGAGGCAGCGAGGGGAAGCAGGTGGGCAGGTTCTCTCACACACACACACACACACACACACACACACACACACACACACACACACACACACACACACACACTCCCTTGGGCTGTACTTGACGAAAGAAAGGGATGATCCCTAAGCTGATTTCACCAATAGTGTGGACAGTGCAGACATCGACATCTGTCCTTGCGTGTACCCACAAACAGTTGACGCCCCCCCCCCCCGGCACACAGTCACTTGAATACACAGCAAACTCTCCCCGGGACAGTCAACAACTGCCTCTTGCTTTTCACCAACCGGTAGAGTGGTGTCCTATCTGGTTACTCTGCCGTCCTGTATGCAGGCACCTGCCACTGTGTCCAGAGGACAAGCTGTTCTGCCCAAACAGGTTAGAAGCACAGGCAACAAGGGAGAGAGAGGCAGTGCGAGGGAGAGAGAGAGGGGGCTTTGAATCAGCTCATTGTCTGCTGTGTGGCGCTCTCACCACCGAATAAGGTCCAAGCTCTCCAAGGAGAATAATGGTCTTTGGGGAGGTCTCTTATTTCATAGCATCAGCTTCCAGTAACGTAGAGAAAGATGGGAGGCGATATTGTGCTTTTGGCCTTTTGATCAGTTCAGCACAAGGAAATAAAACAAATCTGCATTTTTCTCATCTGAGCAAAAAGACTCCCCCCCTCATCTTGTTGAAGGAAACGTTAAGCACATACCTCTGTGATCTCTCGTCTGCGGCTCAGGAGAGGAGGTTTGTCCCTACCGAGCCTGAGAGACAGCAGCAGACGCTGCAGCCATCTGGATCCTGCTGCCTTACCTGGTTTGCGGAGTACCAGGACCGCCTGTATGCCGGCTCCCCCCCAAAACAGGTAAATGCTGTGGCTGGCCTCATTATATAGGCTTTTTCATTGCTAAAGAAACACCATTCAATAGTTTAATGTGTCAATGTGCTTATCAACCACACGTAAAAGAGTATAATGAATAGTGGCAGTCGGAAATCAAACTTTGAATGAAATAGACTTCCCTTTCGTATTTGGATAAGTCTCTGGAACCTGCACAAAACAGGTCTGATTTGGAGTTGTCCCTCACAGGCAGAGGACAAGGACTGTTGTTGCTGCATCTCCATCCTCCACCGCCCTGCTGTCCGCAGCCGAGCCCAGACAGCTCAGTCGTTCAGCCCCCAGCATCATGGAACCTCTGTGCTCAAACGCTGTGATGCAGGCCGGAGCACACAGTCAGACCCGTACGGAATTATAATACTCATTTAAATTGCAGAGCAGTATTGTTAGTAGATCAGAGGTCTTACATTTTTAGAAATACAAACGAGAACTGTGTTGTATGTACTTATTTCATAGTGATCACACCTGTCTGGGGAAAATTGATCCCTATACTTTTATTATAGGAACAAAGATTCACTGAGGCGTAATTGACCCATTTGTGTCACTTTGTCTTAAGCTTCGAATTTGACGGAAAATGACTTAGTTGGTTTCATTTGGCATGCAACACTAGCTTCAAGGAGCCAGCCAGAAGCAGATGGGTTACCATGATTTCAAGTATTACGGGAGTAATCAGTGTTAGCGTCCTTTTCAAAAAATGTTTCAATATATTCAAATAAATAATGTTTTTTATTTGCTGATACAGATGTCCATCTCGTTTTAAAATATAAAATCTCTTCCTGTATGCAGGACTGGTCTTCCAAGACACTGTAAATGAACAAAAGGTAAATTCCACTTATATCACCATGACCTTTTGTCTTGTCATAATGACAAAAATGTTCCTTCCCATCCATAAAACAACTTGTCTACCTTGCAACTCCTGACCATCGAAAAACGATCAATGTCTGTATTCTGTGCCGATTCTCACAGGGACCTTTGCTGGCGCAGCATCCCAGAATGCCCAAGCTGTTGGCCCCACTAACCAGCCAGCCCAGGGACATTGCTGCTCTGCCGGTGCTAAAGCACCGCGTTCCCCTGAAGCCCATCAGCCGGATCGCCCTTTGCTCCAGGACCTGGCTGAGGAGGGAAAGGCTGTTCTGGGGCAGCCCACCCACTGGCCTCCTTATTGCTAAGGGTGGTAGTGAGGAAAGTGGATCCAGCAGCCAGTCGAGTTCATGCGACCTGGAGGATGAGGAATATGAGAGGGATGTGTGTGAGGGAGCTTCAGGGACAAGGAATATGAAGTTAATTGGAAACAGATTGGCCCCACATTTGAACAGCGTGAGCCGCACAGAGGTTGGGGAGACACAGCAACATTTTAAAGTTCTGTCAAAGATCAGTAGCATTCCACCCATCCAAGGGTTAGCCCATGACCTGGATGGAGAGCCTATTGGTTGTACAAACTCTCACTGTGAAGGCAAAGCCACCAATGACTCTTTTATTAAATATCAGTATGCCCAACAAGATGATACTGTGAATGAAGAATCATCTATCACATCTAAGTGTAAGGGGGAAAATAATAATTTGGGCTGCCCCCCAAAGCCTGACACCAAGAGTAATCATGGGATTTTCCATATGAATAATGACCAAGGTGAATCTATTGCATCCTGTGAAGGTACTTACAGAATCTACCTGCAGCATATACAACCATCAAGAAAAACAATAAGGGATTCCTTTTGTGAAGAAGCACGGGCAGATGATCCAATCCCTCGTCGGGAGGATGTAAAGCTACCCTCTGTCTCTACCGATGGGGCAATTAAATTGTTTACTCCAGCTGGAAACCTTCCACGGTCACATACAGATCCCAGGGGAGAGGAGAGGAGGTTGAGGACTGTAAAGCATCTCCTGAACAAAGACAGGAGAACCATCGTAAAAAGTGAACTAAGAGCCGTCATTCAAACTACCCAGCTGTCCTTAAGCGTGCTTGCACACAAAAATCGAAGCATTCTCAATCGCAACAAGTCCAAAAGTAATGTGAAGGGCTCCACACAAGGTAAAGACAAAACAAGGAATGCCCCCGAGCTGATAATTAGCGGAGAGACTGTCACAAAACTCAAGTCCAGGCTCAATTCTGTTAAAAGTGTTCGTTGTCACATTGGCACCGACTCACCAGGAAAGAAGGTTTCTGATCAGGGCAAAAGAGCCAGTCCTGACAAGATAAACAGAGCTCAACAGCATGCACCAGAGAAGGAGCTGAAGAGCATTGGGCAGTTGAAGAGAGCCGGTCTACCGGACCCCCCGAGGTCTAAATCTAGTGCGGCCTTCACCACCAGCAAAGACATGTTGCAGGAGATACAGAACGGGGATGAAGCTTTGGCCATTCACAAGGTGTTTTCTGGTCCTGTTTATGATAACGTACGAGTTTACAGCTCCCGCGAGAAAGTGAAGGGCAGACAAGTGCAGCCTGCTCCGACTAGGAAGACACAACAGTGCTATGGAGTCAAACATAGACCGTTGAAACAAGCGCAGTGGAAAAGTCCAAAGGAGAGCCTTGTGATTTCAGCTAAAAGCAAACCAAAACTGGCACCCTCCGGGATGAAAGCTCACATTGCAGCTGCTCCAAAGAAGGACACACACAAAGTAAAGAAGGATGGACACACAAAGGCCGAGTTAGTTCCTTCCAAAGATGTTGGAATTTGTCAGAGTAGTTATCCAGAAACTGGGTTGTCTACGATAGAGAAAACTATCAAATCGAATGACAAAAGACTAACAACGCCAGCAGCTTCATTTCATGACCAGGACCATAGTCGCCCACACATGAATATGCAAGAAATAAGAGACCCAAACCGTCCGGCTCCTGAGCCCGTATCATCTCAAAGCCCTCAACAGCCAAAAATCAGAACTTGGATGTCATCGTGGGGCAGTAACACCATCATGTCATCGGTCTACCAGAAGTTCCTGGATGAGGTGGGGGACGGGCCGCTTACCGATGACCTGCTGCAATGTCTGGCCGAGGAGCTGATCACGTTGGAGGAGAGGGGTGTATCCACAGGACTTGAAAACCTTGAGTTCAACGGGGAAAATTATAATTTATCAGGAAAAAAGACATTTCTTGAGGTAAAGTGTACTGGTCAAAAGTCATTTATTACTGATTTGCAAGGGCACATATACACTCTATTTCTATTTATACAATCATGTTCTTGTGTTACTCCACACAAGGAATCAATGAATGTTTACAATACAAAAATGAACATAATTATTATTTCTTTCTCTGTAATCTGTTGCAGGATGATTCAATTGACAGGGCTGCGCTGCTTGACGGTGGGTTGGTTGTAGATGACACCACCACATGGACAAAGGGTGAAGTACTTGGCAGAGGAGCGTATGGGATTGTAAGTGTAACATTCGGGATGACAAAGTAAGGCTCAAAGGACCGCAGGTACCGCAGCAGGCATTGATGCTCACCTAACTCTGGCGATCTCGGCTGCATTCTTACCAGGTCTACTGTGGCCTGACCAGTCAAGGCCACCTGGTTGCTGTGAAACAAGTGAGCCTCCATTCATCCGACCCCGACACTGCGAATACAGCCGAGTACGGCCGTCTGCAGAGGGAAGTCGAGCTGCTAAAAAACCTCAGACATGCCAACATTGTGGGCTTTCTGGGTACCTCGCTGTATCAGCATGTGGTTTCCATCTTCATGGAATACATCCCAGGGGGATCCATCGCCAGCATCCTTCAAAGGTTGACAACTTACCCGGAAGTCTGTTGAGGCATGTAAGAGGGTTTAACAATAACTGGTCTGTCCTGATCACACTGGTTCCTGTACTGCCCTCAGGTTTGGTCCTCTGCCAGAGCGTGTCCTGGCTCTATACACCCATCAGATCCTTGAAGGGGTGGCCTACCTTCACCTGAACAGGGTGATTCATCGAGACTTAAAGGGCAACAACGTCATGCTGATGCCCACTGGCGTCATCAAGCTCATAGACTTTGGCTGCGCGCGCCGTCTCAGCTGCCTGAACCACACCGCCAGCCACAGCGCAGACCTGGTCAAGTCCGTGCACGGCACACCTTACTGGATGGCACCGGAGGTAGATGCATAGAGGGTCTCTTAATCTGGGAAGATCTGTTTTTAAATACGAAAGTATTTTTCTTCCTCAGCTAAATGGAAAATGTCCCTTTCATCCATTGTTCACACTACACAGCATTTTCTTCTCACCAATCTTGTTTTAAAGCTCCCTAAAGAAAAGCCGCGTCTGAGAGGCCACCTAGGTCTAGAACGCACCGTGAACTGCACAAAGATGACAGAGAGGCGCCGTGCTGCACCCCGTTTGGGATCCACAACCAGAAAGTTTAATTTTTTTAAGCGTCCCGTTTGCAACACATAGCAAAGTTTCTGTTGCACCAACATGGAAGAACTAGAAATAGTAAAAAATTGTGAAGTTTAGTTCTCAAACAATTGAAACCTTGACAACAAGCAGAGCTGAGGGGATTGCTTGAACAAAAGTATTGCACGGTTTATAATGCTATTTGTCACGTGTGTGCTCTCTAGACAAAACACAGTTTGTGTGGCCCCGTCAAACAGTGAGGCTATCGCACATCTTTTCGTGTGACTTTATTCTCACTTGACTGGTCTCATCCACTCCCCAGGTCATCAATGAAACAGGATATGGCAGGAAGTCGGACATATGGAGTGTGGGTTGCACAGTGTTTGAGATGGCCACAGGGAAACCACCGCTGGCGCACATGGACAAGATGGCCGCCTTGTTCTACATCGGCGCTCGGAGAGGGTTGATGCCCACCTTGCCGAGTGGATTTTCGGATTACGCAAAGAATTTTGTGAAAATCTGCTTGACCAGGTGAAACCTGTTATCCTGGTCCGGGCAAACTGGCAAATCCTTTTAATTGCTCAAGTTTATAGTTCATTAATTTGAACAGCTAAATATGACTACTTTTAAGATGTTTTGGGGAATATGATTATTTTTTCTCTCTCACCAGTGACCAAAGACTGCGGCCATCTGCAGACCAGCTGCTGAAGCATTCATTCATCCCCAAACGAGAGACCGGAGCACACGCAAAGAACTGCTGTGCTCACCCAGAGGGACTGTGTGGTTAGCTTACGCTTACACACAATGCAAGTTAAATTAGGACTACGATTACCTGCCAGGAATCCCCAGTAAGGCACTGGTAGTGTGTATGGGAATACAAAATGCAACAAAAAGACATTGTAGAAACTACATGAGCACTTTTATACATTTAACCTTAGTAAAACCTATAAAATGTAAACTAAATTACAGCATATTTTTGTAATGCACTGAATATTTTCTTCATAGAAAGCTTATAAATGTGCCAATCTTAAGTATCTTAGTTGAAACTACTTCTCTGCTCTGTAGTTTATGTACATTTTGAAAAACCCATAGTGCAACATGTACTTAAAATGTAAACTACTTCCTGTTCGCTTTCCACTGATGAGTTAACCAGTGTAAAATTGTAACCAAGAGACATGAAAGTGGTAATAATGAGACTACTACTTACTATAAGAATAGTACACCTATGTATCAAAACATCACGTTTCCTTCATTATTAACTACAAACATGGATAAACAAAAGGATCGCAACAACCAGCGTTTATACCCTGTCCAGGTAGTGGCAACTTTGAAGTTTATTTGGAATAGTAAAATGAAAAAAAAAGACGTAAAGGGTGGGTTACACACATCTGCTCTTCCTCCCTATGTCCAAGTGTTAATCCCAAAGGGTCCAAACTGACTCAGGATCAAGTGTTTTCAATAACCCGCTCAAAAACAGAGAGGGCGGTCAGGTCAAGATTTGGGAACAATATAGAGTTTAATGTATGAAGTTGTTGAGACGTGTCTGAAATGGTACATGGCTGGAAATGCAAATCAGGAAAAACAAAGAAAACTAAGGGACATCACACTGCAGATACTATATTCAGCAGGTCAACTGATCCTGGGGTGGAACTGAGCCAGCAAGAGTGTTTCCTCTGCACTATACGGTACTATGTTAAAGGATGACTGCAATACTTACATGAACCCCCTGCTGACATCTAAGGGCTACAGCTTTAGGTCCTAAAACGATGTCTGATGCACTTCAAAGTAAAAAAGGGGTTATGTAAACTTTAATAGCACATTGTCAGTTGTTTTTCTTCTTTATGTGGCAAAACCTTTGGCATTCAGCTTAAGGTTTACTCAGAGGTCCCAAAAAATATTTTTTGGTACAAATTGCATGGCTCTGATGTGATAAGTAGGTGTTAAATGTGCCTGTGTTATTGAGGGCATCGACTAGTGTTCCCCGTGATGAAAAAGCACAGTACAGCCCCCCCTGTAGGAGGGTTGGTAGAAGCACACACACACTACTGGAATGCTGCAATCATTCACCCGATGATGCCCAATCCGTTAAGCAACAAAATAAACGTATTTTATAGGTATTATATTCATCTTGTTATACTTACAAGCAGCTCCAAACCTGAGTAGTCATGGTATAGCTTTTTTTCTTTTCTTTAAACATACAAAAACGTATGTACATTTATCTCCACTCTCTGTAAACAGCAAGTACGCATTCTTTTAAATCCCTTTGATGATTGAAACATGCAAATCATACGCACAGTACTGAAGTATAAAAAGAAATCACAAGAAAGAAATTGGAGATGAAACCATACACCTAAAAAAATAAAAAATAAAATGTATCCATCAAGCGTATTAAATGGAATGCCAGCAAACATTGTTGAACTCCGCTCCAGCTGGCCACTGGCTTCCTTCATACAACTGCAGAAATGTGATTCAATTAAACTACTTGTTTAAAACAAAAATCAAAATAGACCAAAAAAAACGCAAATAGGTGCACATTCCAGGCCTCTCATAGTACTTGCAATACTTTTTTCCCATGTGGAGATCTCAAATGCGGGGAAGACTTTCCCCCAGTGGTGAAAACACACTTTTGCACGTTCCGAGACTGAGGAGGAAGGAGAACCAAGCAGCGATTCAACACTAACAGAAAGACAGTGCTGAGCGTCTCAGCCCAGATATCTGACAGTCAGGAAGCATAATTCTTTTTTTTTTACATCTTTCTTGTCTCTTAGAAATTGAGGTCCAACAATACTTATCTTTCGTTTTTTTTTTTTTTTTTTTTTATAAGATAAGTTGTTTTTCTGCCTTTCGGTAAAGGGTTCATCATTTCCTTAGGGCACTTAACAGGTAGGTGAGCATAGTCTGAGCTGTGTGGGTAGTTTGCTGCCATTTCCATGGGCGGGTCATGGCTGCAGAGCGGTGGACTCAGTGTCTCTGCTCTCCCACTTCATGTGGCGATTCGCTAGGAGGAGGGTACTGCTGAGAGGTCCGCAGCCCACCTGGGTATGACAGGAGGGGAGGAGGAGAAACAAGAATAAGAAGGGGGGGAGGAAGATGGAGGGAGGGAGGAGAAGGATGAAGGGAGGCAGGGAGAGGGGGGGGCAGGGCGGGTTTAGCCACAGAGCTGCAAGCCAGACGAGACACACTGCAGTACAGGAGAGGAGCCGGGAGGAGAAAAGGGGTGAGAAAAAGATGTAGTACCTGCAGCACCAGTGCCACCCTTGGAGATTTTGCTCACTTTGGAGAATGAGGAGGGAGGGTGGTGGTTGTGGCCGGCCTCGAGGTACGCCCTCTTGCGTGCCGACGACAAAGAGGCGGATCCGGGTGGGAGGATCGCGTCCATGCCGACCAATCCCGGGGCCCCCCGCAGCGGGGCCGCCCCACCGTTCCCGCTGTGCGTGTGTGAATGTGGGTGACTGTGCTTGTGGTGGCGATGGAGGCTCTGATCTGCTCCGCGGTGGTGCTTCTCCTTACTCACCAGAGGGCTGGAATGTTTACTCTTGATAATGTTGGCCGCGCCCTCATCCGACGAGCTATGGCGCTCGGACGATGAGACTTTTATCTTCATCTTAAGCTCATCTTTGATCGGTTGTCCACCTCGATCCAGCTGGGAGCCGCCGCCAGACACAGGGACGGCCAGGCGGAGCTTGAGCGAGCCTTTGTCCCGTTTGTCGCCGTGATGGCGTCGGTCTTGCCCTGAGGTCGAGGGGACTTTGATTTTCAGTGGCGAGGCAGAGTTGCTTCCAGCACCCCCCTGGTGGGGCTGTGAATGCTTTCTATGGTCTACGTGGCTCACAGAAGCGGATGATGCATAGGTAGAAGAGGCAGATAACGTATCGCCCCTCGTATCAAAGTCCATTATTCCCAAATGCTGGTCCTGACTGCGCTTATGCCCAGAGACTGCCAGCTCCGCAGCATGTTTCTCTCGGTATTTGTCCAGAGACAGCTTCTGAGCTAGAGACGGTTGCGGTGGGGGCGGCTGAGCAGGTGGAGCGTAGGCCGCCTGCTTGCCCGCTCCGCTCCCACCGGCTCCCTTTGGTTCCTGTTTGACAGGGATGAAGTCCAGCGTTTTCTCAGTCTTGAATGTCGGCGGATGCAGAAGCAAAGAGGAAGCGGAGGTCTGCAAGGACAGCGCGGGGTCCTGGAGAGGGATGCTGAGGGGCTCCTGTTTAATACAGGTGGAAGGGTAAGCTGCTTGGCTCTGGTTGACCAGGGGCCACTCGCTGTGGCTGGCTGGGTTGTACGTCCCGGCCAAAGCGTCCAGGGACAGGGCTGCGTCTCTGGACTGGCCGGGCATGGCCACGCTGAAAGCAACGCTTGCTTTAGAGAAACCCGTGGTCGCAGAGAGCGGCGCATCGCCATGATCTTGGAGCATGGAAGGCCCAGGGAACGCGTTGTCCGCCAACTGAGAGCTGTCGCCCTTTGGCTTTTTGGCAGCTTGTGTTGCCTAGGCGATAGAAGAGAGCGCGGTTAAGAGTTTGATTTAGTTGGCAGCGTGCTGTCTGAAGGAGGTTTAAAGGCCAAACAATGGATTAATGAAGTGGGTAGATTTCTGTTCTGTGTACGTTGCAGTGCCACTTAACACTAACAATAATTCATATAGTTAGCATACTTGAAAAAAAAAACAAATGTAAGAAATGTTTAGGCACGGCTATATAGTCTGATACATGCCGAGCTTATAGTTCAGAGATAATGGGGATGCCAGACATGTCTTGCCATGCATTAAAGAGAGCAGCAGTGCCTCTTACCCTCCAGTTGCGTATCCTTTTTAAGCGGCTCGGCGTCTTCTCCAGAATCTGCAGAAATTCGTGGGTCAACTCTGCAAGTACAAGACGAGAGTTATCATTAACCTCAAAGTCTGCAGCTGCCGCGCTGACACCACGGCCATGACTATCCAATGTAGCCTCCCTGAGTTATTGTAAATCCAGTAACAGCCATATGTGACAGCTGTGGGGAATAGCAGCCGGGTCATTTAAGTAAAACGCATTGATTTAATCTCACCATCCAGCAGCTCGAGGGTGACCGAGTTGTCCACATACTCCCACCAGTGTTTTCCATCAGTGGAAACTGGGATCTCCCAGTTGGACCACTTGCACGCCAGATGGATGCACACGCAGGAGATTACGGTGGGCTTGTACTGGAGGCAGAAGGTGGTGAGGTGTAGGCTGCATAGTCGGTGTGGGGGGGGGTGTAGGCATGTGATGAGTGTGTTTGTGGGACAGAGTGAATATTTCACATATGCGAGGGTGTAGGAATGAGAGTGAGTTGATTCAGCCCAGGCGTCGTCCCGATTGGTCCCACACATGTAGAAAAAAGAAAAGAAAAAAAGAGGGAGCGGACCGTTTTAATCGACTGTAGGAATTTAGAAACTGGTTGCACAAAAATAAGTCAATGGGAAATATTCACAAACTTTGTGATTAAGTCAGTTTGTCATTTGAAAACCAGGTGACAAAAGGTTCATGAACTTTAAGATTCATGTCAAAAAACAGAAAACGTGAGCATTAAATTGTGTCACATGAAAACTAATTTTTCATGAAACCTGGCTGGTTTAAATGTCAAAACACAAGGTGGGGAAATGGGGAGGGGCCATGTGTGGTAGCTATGTGTGATCCCATTGTGAAGCATTGAACACTGGGGCCACACAGGGAAGTTGCATCATTGGACGGCTAACGGACGAGGGGCTGCTCCTACAACCTGCTCTGTATGGGTCACTGGGAATAAACCCAGTGGGCCCAGTGCGCAATGACGTGTCAGAGCTTGACTGACATGGTCTCAATCCCTAAATTTAAATAGCCAATATGGCGTACAAGGATTCATGGGTGAAAGTAATCAAGTAACATCAATAAAAAAAAAAGTTTGGATTGAAGATTGAGTAGGTTTCTCAGAATCATAGATCAGAAGTGTTTGTTTTTAATCATATAGTAAAGATTCTCAATAAAAGCGTAAGCCTGCATCCTTGGTAAAAGCCAGTTGTAAACAATACTTAAGACATTGCTCACATTCAGCATCCACAAATGGTCAACTCAATTCGAAGTAATGAGTTCCACCACTGGCACCCAAAACCAAACCCTTTAAGGACCCGATTCTCTGACTAGAAGAAAGTTTTGTCCTCACTTTAGAATAAATAATATTTCCCCCCCATACATTTTCATCAGTATTACTCATTACAAATTCTGCAGGTCCTTAATGGGTTACAATCTTTCATGTCACGTTTCACATGACAGGCTACAGATACAAAACAATGTTGTAGAAAAGCTAGAAAATGTGCATGTCAAGACAGAACATATTGCAAAAGGTGAGAAATACTGGAGATAATGCATTTGAACAAATGGATATGAAAAAGAACATTTAAAAATGTATTTGTGTTACTTACCAGAAGGACCTCTACGAGAAATGTTTACATCTGTGAAATCTTTAGCTGCTATTCAGGCTACCAAAGTGTCTTTCTTTTAGAATTATGCACTTTTTCGCAACCGAACAAACATGTGGGTTTCAAGCGCACCACTACACTTCACACCTTGCATTCAACCCATCTGTGCCAACACGCGGCCCCTTGTACAATACACCGCACTGCGACTGGGGCCGGTAACGCTTAAAGCCACCCTGTCCCGCTCCCTTTGAACGAGGGAGGGGAGCCAAGGGGAGGAGGCAAGCATCCCAACAACCACCAGCGCAACTAGGGCCCGTTGGACACTGAAAGGGTAACCTGCATTACAGGAAGCTATGGTGTGCAGTCAAAGTGCAACAAAGGAGGGGCAGGATAACAACCTGTTGGTAGCCATGAAATAGGAAGTCTGTGCCAGATCCTTGCTTGCTGTAAGAGAAGAGACAGGAGAAGAAAGAGAAACAGGGAAAGGGGGGGGGGGGGAGGATTAATATTGTTGGCAAGCCCAAAGCACATCATCATCATTAGGATAGAAGTGTTGGACTGATTTAGCCAAAGCCAAGACAAACTTAAAATAAATCACGCTACGCACAGACTCTTGATAACTTGCAGCAAGCGTGCGATTTTTTAAAATAAATTATGGCAAAATGTTTTGATTTAGCCGCGTCAACCAACAACCAAATTTAACGGATGCCGTTTTTCGGATGAAAAATGGCAAATCTCCGGCCTAAATGTATAAAATTCAGTATTGGCCAAATAAGCATAAGCAAATGTTGCGTATGTGCCATAGAATGAACTCATGAAAGTCATCAAAAGAGCAAGGTGTTTGTGCGGTTATGTAACCATTGAGTCAGCAAGGTTTTCACCCCCCTCCCCACCCATGTTTGAGGTGGGACAAATCAGAGCAGAGGGCACAAAGAGCAAAGAAGGAAGCCTCTACCTCGCACTAGCTGGGAACATTTCACCACATCAGTGTGTGGGTGATCAATAGTAATTTCAAAGCCTGGAACAAAATACATGACAGGTGAGTTCAACACAGAGACAGTTGGGAGGTGACATGTCATTTTATGATTAAATGAAAATACACCAAAAGATGCATTTTAGGGCCGTAAATTCTAGCAGGTATCAATTTGGCAAATGGGAATAGTGGAACCATTTTTGTCCATTCATATACGCACGCTACAGATCCCTCTGGATGAAAGGATTGAACTTAATAATTGAGCACAACATAAAATGTTGACCAGCAGTGAAATTAAACTAAATTTGTGAGAATAAATCCAATTAAAAATTCCACAGTTGAATCGATACCATGTTCCATGACCAAGGTCTGTAATGACAGAATGACATGTCACCGTTACACGATTTCTTGAAAATATGCACGAGACAAGATACCCATACAGCTGCTGATAAAACATTTTACTTAACAGGCTGTGACGAATAAAGTCAACAGGAATCAGTAGCAATACTCCCTTAGTGATAAAGATAAGCCACAGATAACGATCAAATGAGATCTCTCTCAAGTCATCCACTCCAGTCACCACTACTTACCCAGGGTCTGCAGCACTATGGATTCAAGTATCACCAGCTCTTGAGCTTGCTGGAGGTATGCCTGAAGTTTGATAGACAGTCATTACAACACAATTGTAATGAGTCTATTATCTCTGGCCCTGACAACCGATTTCAAAATGGCCAAAAACTCCAAAGAGAGGCTCATTTTACTATGCACTATTGTTTGAAAGCCTTCTGGGGTGTAACTGTGTGGCACAAAGCCACAGCAGGCGATGGCATTTCAAATAAAGCCCTTGGTAAAGGGAAAAGGAATTTGGCACCGCCAGTTTAATACGGGGAGGGGGGGGGGGGAGCCATGACCACTGAGAGAACTGGAAAGACGAAAAAAAGAAAAATACTCTTGACCATACGATATGTAGATTTCCCTGAACTTACATTACTCTTCGTGTCTAGAGGTGGTTCTTGGGGATTTAGGCAAGCGTGTGCAACTTTGATGACATGTTCGAGTTTCCGAGGTTGCTCTTCCACTTTCGCGGCCAGGAACAGGGTGGTTGGAGATATTATCTGCAAAATTGCATGGAGACATTTTTCATAGGCAATTATGAAAAATGGCAAAATTTGATTCTCGGTTGCACGTCAATAGTGGTGTTATGTAACGCAATACTTACATTCCTATGGAATTTGGTGAAAGAGTGGTGCATATAAAACCTATGCATGTAAACAATAGCTGTATTTATTGTTAATTGAGAACTGGAGTTTAGGTCAAGGGAAACGTTTGAGAGCAACTTGCACTGTTAAGAACACATCAAACAATTCAATTTGCCAATACATCACATATCGTCAAGTGAATTAGCACTAAACAAATGTTTAAAAAGTTAAAAGGCCTAGGTAACATTCAAGAAAAGCTCCAACAGCTGAGAAAAGGACATTTTGTTCAGCAGGCTAGCTAACGCTAACGTGATTTAAGCTAGCTTTGCGACAGCGCCAGTTGTCAACTTATACAATACAAAACTAACAACTTGTCGTACAACTATAAACTTCCGCTTGGGTATTTCAAGGTAACATCTCGTTTTTCGATCACTGAATTCGCCAGGGCTTAGAGGTTAAGACATCCAGCCGACATGGGGATAGCAACAGCTGCATGCCTGCTGGTCCTTTGAACGTCGACCCACAGCTAGCAAGTTAGCATGCTACATTAGCTTACAGCTAACGTTAAACATAAACCATACGATACCAACATTCCAGGTGGAGAACTCCACAGTATTTTAGGCAAACACAAACGCAAAATTAACAAGTCGAAGATTTGAAGCTATTGCTCAATAAACTAAGCACGTCGCTGAAAACTCGGTATCGGGCCCACTGCGAAGGGTTGTCTTAGCGCCATGTCTTCGTCCAGCCTGGTCGAGGCAGACGTTTGTTTACAAAGGATACACGTTGAGTCTCTGACCCATGTCTTGGATCAGATTGGCAGCTTGCTGTCGGTAGGAGAGCTCGCGGTCCGGTTCTACTCCACATCGGCGGGACGGCGTGGTTTCGAGCTGCTCCCGGGTGAAAAACCATTTCGACGAGGATCCCCGGCACGCCGCCATCGCACTCCAACATTCAGCATCGAGAAAACGGATGTGACGTCGAGGTCGCACAGGAAAGCACGACTTCTTCGGCGGTGAGCCCGGTGCTCGCTGGTGATTGGTCGGTTGTGTTCCATCGGAATCTGATCGGTAGCCGCCCTTTGCATCCATCCCACTGGACGGCATCCTCACATCGTTACATATTCAGAAGCTGTTTCATCAATGTTGAATAGTTTATTCACATTTTACACAGCTTTGCGTTTGCTCAATTCGATTTGCTTATGGCCCAAACCTCCATAATAAACCAGTAAAGACAACAGAGCGCACACAACTAACCATTTATCCCGTGTGGGACATATAGAGTTGTGGGAAAAAGTAAAATCAAATGTCGCAGGGTTTAGCCACAAGCTTATTTCTACTTAAGTCAGTAACTGAATGTGTGATTTTGTGGTGTCGCTTTCAACCGATGGCCGATGACATTCTTAATGTTAACAATAGCCAGAGTTCCTAGTAATCTCATCTTTGTAGAGTTCCTTTGAGCATTTCAAGTATATTCATTTTCAAGATGTGATAATTCACTCTAACAGGAGCGAACGTGTGGCGATTATATGTGAAAGGCCTCTGAAGCAGCCCTGCATGTGTTCTTGGTAATATTATGATTGGCAGCAAATGTGTCTCTGAAAACACTGAACTGGGCGTTCTTTACCTTTTGGCAAAGTGCCTTTGGCCATTCTTCTTAAATCAAACAAACAAACACATGTTTGACTTGTTGGAAATAAGAGTGGATAAAGATCATAAAACTCTTTTAGGAAAATTAATTGAAAGACCTTTTTTGTTTTCGGACTCATCAGTGCCACACACCGAATGCTAAAGATTTCTGTACAGCTGATACAGTATCTCCAAAATTAAACAACTCTATCTATTGATACATACTACAGATAAGACGACAATTATGTTTTTTTTTTGGGGGGGTGAACTCTTCTAAAAATATGAATATTTCTATAAGCATTGACACTGAATCACGGGGTGCGTCATGGTATCTCCCATTTCCACCTCACTCAAACTGCTCTCGTTTCAGGCCCAAAAATTCCACAGCATTTCCAGCAAGCAATTTATCCTGCAAAACAGAATTCACACCAAATTCACTACATGATTAGAAATGTGATCATTTACATAAATACATTTTGAAATTGCGAATCAAAGCTATTCAGAAACGCTTTAAACAATGAACCTCTACAGACTAATAGTGCTGTGCTCTTTGCATTACAGCTGATGATCAATAGAATGTGTTATTCAGTCAATTCATAACAGCAGCACTGTTAAGTTATTGTTACCTTCAGCTTGTCATCAAATTCATCCATCGACTCGATCAGTGATCCAGGCTGCAGCTCTCCCAGTGGGAATGGATAGTCTGTTCCCAGCATCACCTTATCCTGAGTGGAATACACGCATGTGAACTTGGAAAGCCACGGAAGTGTTACTGTGTGGAAGACATCTTCAGTATCCACCCTCATCCTCTCTGAAACTGGTAACACCCATCTCAATGTGTGTGTGTGTGTGTGCAGAATAAATGGTGAATTACAAGCTCACTTTTCCGATCACATCAATGAGCAGCTTGAGGGAGATGGGATCGTGAACTAGGGAGTCGGTGTAGAAGGAACCGAGGTATTTCCTGGGACTGATCTTGTTGTCCACTGCACACAGGTCAGGGCGGACTTTGTGGCCGTGTTCAATTCTGCCAACGGTGAATGGAAAAGAGCCACCTGTTACCAGATGAAAGTGAACAATAAAAGTCAAACAAAATGATCTGTAATTGAGCATGAAAATGAGGTAAAATCAGGTTTACACTTTAATAATCCTGCTGTGACTCTAGAACTAAAATTGTGTGAGCAACGTCTGATCCTACCTCCATGTGCAAAGCAGACTTTGAGTTTGGGAAATCTCTCAAAGACGCCTCCGAATATCATTGAGCAGATAGCCACAGTGGTCTCTGTCGGCATGCCTTTGAGATGGAGAGACAACACAACATAACCCCTTCTTTCTAGAGGACATTAATGAGGTGTCCTGTTGCTAAAAGACATTATAAGTGGATTTAAATGCTCAACAATTATTGATCCCATTGACCTGATCCGAATTTGTCCAGCATGAACCAATTTGGGATTTCTTTAACCCTAATGGATTATTAGGGACATTCTGCCTTTTGAAAGATGGGTTCCTAGGAGTTCAACCTCTTATAATCTGTATATTCTGAATGTTTTAGCTCAGACACTAAAGGACAAACATGTCGCCTTTGGAACATATTTAAACCACACATTGGGAAGCAAAGGCCATTTTTTCAGGTTTTGAATTTACAACTCTGGCTTCAAAATTGTAGTTTTAAACGGGGCCATTTTCTCATACTTGGCCTATATGGTAAAACATATTATTCTCATAGTCGTGCCATTACGGGTGTAGCGGAAGGTGTAAAAATACTATTTTCTGGCACATTAGTTAGATTGACTTTGGCGAGTGTAAACTAAGCTTATTGCGTACGGCAGTGTTTAATGCAATAAAAGTGTAATATCAATAATATAATACTATGTGGTGCCATTCACTGGATTGCCTCTAAAGCACAAAGAGGGATTTTTAAAAATTGAATATGACACTGCAGATACCGCTGTGGCATCATGTAATCAAAATAGCATTTGAAGGATTAAAAAGTAAAACGATTTTGTCAAGTTGGTCAAAGGATTTAAATTGGTGGAAGTGAAAAATATAATGTATTTAATTTCAAGAAAATTAATTAATATTTCTCATTATTTTACACAACAAAAAATAAAATAATTTGGACTTGGCTTCATCAAAACTTGGCTTCATCTTTTTTTAGGAAATTCTGCCTTTCTCAGAGTGAGAGCAGCCTTTTTGCCATTAGTCTGTACGCAGAAGTTACTTTAACGAGAAAAGTAACAAGATTTTATTTTCTATTGATTTGAGGGAGAGGGGTATTCAATATCTCCTGTTCCCAAGTATTACATCTCCCTCACCCACCAGCCAGGGAAGCCAATACTTAGCCATCCTCCCATCTGTCTGCATGTCCCACGGGTGGACAAAGAGGGAGCAGCCCAGCTCCTCAGCGGCCTGCAAGCAAGACACAATGAGCCATCAGCAGTTCTACGTGAAAGAGAGGGTCACACCCTGAATACAAAATATGAGATCAGTCAAACCAGAGAAATATTTTGCAACCACCGGAAACATGTCATCACATGCGCATGTGTGCAATATTACACATCTCACAGCATAGAAAGGAAACAGTTCGGCGGCATTGAGGTCCCAGTTGTTGATCCGCGATCCAATCTGCACCCCAGGGAAGCCGAGCTGTTTCACGCAGCGCCTCATCTCCACCACTGCCAGGTCAGGGGCTTGCATGGGCAGAGTGCCCAGGCCCACAAACCTCTTGGGGTGGCTGCGCACCGTATTGGCCAAATCGTCGTTCAAGAGGACGCAGAGATCCAGTGTGTCATGAGGTTTGGCCTGAAATCCAAGTATAAGATAAGAAGATGAGAATAGGTAAACATATGAAAAGGAACCATGATGCCACGTAACTAGTTGTACGATGCTCAATTCTATCCATGTTACTAAATGAGCGCTCACCCAGTAACTGAACATCACAGGGACCGTGGAAAGGGCCTGAACTGTGACACCTGAAGGGGGGAGAAACAGAAAGGCGTCAATGACGTGAAACCGGGTGGTACTTATTGGTGTCTGTCATGTCTGTGCATGTACCATGTTGATCCATGTCCCGTATGCGTGCGTCTGCATCCCAGCAGTTCTCTTTAATCACCCGGAACAGCTTCCCATCCTTCATCATGTCTGCTTCGCCCTGAAACACCACATGAGTAGAAGTCACATCCCCCGTGTCAATGTGCCTGTGCTTAAGAACGTTTTGAAGGTGAATATGTGGGGATTTCATAACACCACATGATGGCAGCAGACAGCTGAAGTCCGACCCAAACGTCTTCCTAATGGTGTTTTCACATGCAGATACAAACACCACATGGACCCATGTTTCCCATGTTAATGGCTGCGATTAAAAATGTTCAGGCGCATCTCTATCTACCAAGTGACCTGGAAACCTCACCAATCACGTTTGGACATCGGCATCAGGACTCTTAACAGATACGGTTCACAGTTGAACGCACAATGTGTCACAATAAACCATTCGTCTTCATGTGCGGCTCATCAGTGCCAAAAAGCACAGCCAATGTTGCACTGGCTACCGTGCTGTTCTGCGGCGCTGCAGAGATATTCCCAGGGAGTCTTTTCCGCTGATGCAGTGGCACCACGCTGAGTCGCATGTGGCGGACTTTAACCCCACGTGTCCCGGGCATTGTGTGCAGTGCATGAAGGCTCGTGTTATCCCGTCTGTGCGCATCAAGGAACATGAACAGCAGCTCACCTTGCAGTGATGGTGAAGTTGGACGAACCCATCATATCCATACCTCTGAAACACACACACAAGAGGGAATGTGCTTTAGAATTGAGTGTTCAGGAACATCTTACATCTCTGGTGGGTTTAATTCATTTAAGTCACTGCGGCCAAATGTTATATCCCCACTCATCTGCTGCACAGTGTGCTTAGCTCAAATTGTGGGATGTTTTTTATATTCTTGTTTTGTAAAAGTGTCACTCTGTCTCCAGGTGGTTATTTCTCTGAAAGGTGCCTTAAAGGAAATGCATCCGTACCAGTAACAGTGGAGCTTGTAACAAAGTTTACTCTGATGTTTTGTGTGGAAGTCCTCGTAATCAGCTCAAACAAATAGGTATCGTGAAAATGATGCATTGCTTCTGTGTCTGTTTGAAAACACAAACAATTCATGAGACTTTCAAATGATCTGGTTTGTATGCAGTACTACTTCTCCCCAATCCTACAGCAATTATTACAGTACAAATGGATCCGAATGACACCAAAATCATCTACTGCTCTTCTATTACTACTTCCCTCCATTTCAAAACATTTCATTTAAGACCATTTTCAAATATTAATTTGACTAATACTATTTCTTTTTACATGTTTCAAGAACCAAAACACAATAAATCAAGACTCACAAAGTAAATCCGAATGTGCCACTCCTGCTTATAAGCATGCAGAAGTGGTGATATACAGTATTATTTTAGTGTAAAGCATAGAATTTTGATTTGGCAACGCCGCAAAAACTGTCAGCTTGCCCCGCTTGCTGAAAGATCTCAAGTAGCAGAGAAGCTACTTCATGACTCCTCACACGGTAACATGAATAAGACAGGCCTGACTTATTATGTTACATTTCCTGGGTAAAAACAGAATAAAGAGCGGCATCGAACATGTGCAATCATTAGCCAAGGCCAGACCTCCATAGTAACGAACGCATACGAGCTAGATAACAGATAGGACGGGGCAAGGCCCAATCCACTTATGGATTAAAGTTTAACCATCCACAGCAAACACAGATTCATAGAGCGAGCTGTTAAGCTCCCCGTTAACACTCCAACGGGAAAATCCTGTGTACTTCACTGGAACGGCTTTTAATTGCGTTGGACTGAAGAAGAGTCTGCAGACCACCGAACCACTTGTGTGGATTTACTCCGGATGCTCCAGATCCTCCATGAGATTGTGTCTCTCGGTGCCTACCTGCTTCAAGTCCGGCCACTTCTTTGGTAAAATATGATTGTGAATATCAATCTTCATCCTTGGGATTCCCCTGTGGAAAAATACGGAGGTGTTCTGCTCAGGATTACTTGCTTTGGGCACAAATGCATCAAATTCCCTGTCCTGACTCTCAGCCAAGAGACAATGACCGACAGGTGACTGCGTGGCTGCTGCTGGGACGCCCTGGTTAATCATTACCTAGTCTGGAAGACAGGCAGAAAGTAATCATTAATCAGTCAAATTGTACTTGACACACTGCAGCATTAACTGATAGGCACTCATAACAATGGCATATTGTTCAGTCCCACACGCGTTTCACAAATTTAAAGCAGCATTTCTGTGCAGTTGGGTGGCTGCGAGTCAAAGTTTTGTGCTTATGGTTCCATAATGCATATTCGGGTGAAGTTAATCTCCTGGCTTTGGTTTGCAGTAACTTAAGTTCAAGCTGCTGCACAGCTGAAAATCACTGACCCACAGAATGTAAAGCAAACTGAGACGTGCATTCTACAAACATAGGGTGTGAGCTGCAAGCTGTCAGCTTTTCCGCAAGCTGCTGCTAAACACCAACGTGTGTTACATCTTTCAGTGCCACCTACAGGTGACAACGTGTCAAACGCTTCACACTTCAGCATCCTTGTGTGTCCACCTTTGCTGAATTTGGTTGTCAGGAAATGTTAAATTAAAAGAAATATGGTAGTTGATGATTAGTTTAACTAGTACTGAGTTGTTGTTTTTTTTATGTTCAACATAATGGCAGATTATAATACCTCAATGCAGAAATGAGCAGACAAATGTGATTTACTTTTTTAAACAAGTGTAAAAAATACATAAGAGTATATGCAGAGCATAGCAATACAACTATGTATTCAGCATACATTAATACAAGTACACAAGTACACACGCATTGCATGCATAGCAAAAGGCCATTAAAGGTGGTTTATACATATAAACAAAACCATGACCCCTCAGCAATATGTGGGGGGGGGGGGGGGGGGGGTTGTGACAGCGCTGTGGAGCTTGTAGCGTAGGGGTGCGTCTTTAATCGGAAAGATACGTTTGGCGCCAGACAGGCAAATAGTCCATGTTATTCCCTGTCATATTTATAAAGGTATTCTCCCAAAAAGGGTTAAAAAAATACCCCCACCAGCGGGGAACCCCTTGTGCGCAAGGGGAGTTTAATCAAAATGCTAAACCCCTACCAACCAAGGAGGCCCCCCCAATCCGGGGGAAATCCCTGTATTTCAACCGTAAAAATATTAGTCCGACCCCAGGCTTAAAACCCGGGGGTCTCCACCAGCACATGAACTTGAACCAGTGGAGAAAAAACGCCTGACACCGACATCGTAGAGAAGGTGAGTCCTGCAGTGCCAGGAAAGGTTATTCCTCCTCCCCCAGCAGTGCACAGCTGCTGTACCGTCAGGGGTCCCAAAGGAGAAATCCAGAAACATAAGTGTCCAGCAATTCAAAATAAACACATGTTTAGGGACAAAGAATAATCAAGTGAAACGTCCCTTGAGGAAAGTCTTGGTGTGCTGATATTGTCACTTTTGGGGTAATCTGGGTAAAGTAGAATGCGTGGCCGCTGTGAGTGTGTGTGTGGGGGGGTTGTGAGTGTGTGGGGGATGATCAGGAGTCGGGAGAGGTGTTTCTGAGGGGACTTATCTGTCCTGATCGACTGGTGTGTCCAATTTCATATCCTTGCCCCGCCTTCTTTATTCTTGTCAGGTGGAAAAGCAGCAAGTCTACAGACTTTGGTCTGCAAGCTCATGGAGGGTTGCTGCATGTCGCCCTCCCTCTCTCTGCTCCCGTTGTCTCTGTGGACTGTTGGTCTCAGGACTCCATTACTGGACGTTGTGGGTTCCAAAGGGAGGGTCGGTCTCATCGTTTGGGTGACATTGAAATCCCACCATACACCTTTGACAAAAACAACGATATGGAGGATATTAAGCAAGAGCTGAAGTCAGGCCAGACTGGCAGAATAGGTCTAATTGATAAATGATCAGAAACTCCAATGATGTGATTCTAATCACAACCCACAAGCTCTTTTCTGGGAGCCGAGTCACTGTGTGAAGCCATTTAACCTTTTCCTCAATCTCAATTCAACCACAACACGTCATTTGTCTTTGTGGCGCTGAAGATAGCAGCCAAAATAACGTACCCGGTGTAAAGGATATTAAAATAAATGTTACATCAGTAATGGGAAATGGGAATTTAGAAATATTGGGGAAACTTTAAGTACACACACAAAAAAGACATCAGTGTCATCAGGAGTTTTCCTTCTGCTTCCATTATGAAATGTTGATGTTTTGTGACAATGTCTACATTATTGATACAATTCTACTGGTAGATCATGTTATTGCAGTTGCAACATAGCTATTATATAGTAATTCATCTTTTCACCAGACTGAAAAGCAGACATTGATAACTCATAGAACAATATTAACCGTGCGCTGGAAAACACAGCACAGAAATATACAACTAGGAATATACATCTAATAAATAATCTAAATATACTTTATTCAAAACTAATTTGTGGAAACAACTTTAAAACCTCCGAGTGATCCAGGACAGATGTCACCATGTGATGTGGTCTGTGCGGGGAAAAAAGGTGCTAAGTCCTGAGGAGGAAGGAAGGAAGGAAGGAAGGAGGAGGAAGGGGAGGAGGGAAAAAAACAACTTGCTGGCACCGCCTGCCAGATTCACAGCGGATCTCTGCGACTTATCGCATCGGCGCATCTGAACTGCGTCTAAAGTGTCTGTTCAGCGGCGCGGCTCCCGCACTGTTCACTTGGCAGCGGAGGGAGTTGCCTTCAGGCTCATTCTGACGGGGGATCCATCCTCCATCTCCCATCTTATCCTCCCGCTATCTTCCTCCTCTGCGGATCGCAGCCGGCGGCACATCGGACGCGCGCTGAATGGCTGGTGCGCTCAGCGACGCGGCGTCAATCCGTTTTTCATCACCATCACCACCACCATCATCATCATCATCATCATCATCATCATCATTGTTCTCTTCAGCCTTTTGAGACCGAGAAAACAAAAAACATCAACCACCAAACAACAATGACAGACCCGGCCGGCCAAGAGTCCTACCCCGTCCCGGACCCGACTATCGTGGATCCCCGCCCGGCGCGGAACGGCCAGTGCGCCCCAGATGGGTTCACCAACAACCACCACCAGCCAGCCAAATCCCCCGGCCAGCCCGAGACGTTCACCTCCGGCCATGAGATGAAAATCACAGACAGCGTGGAGGGCGAAGGTAACCTCACCTGCCTCTGGCATGTTTGGAAATGTGTTTTTTTTTGTTAGTTGTGGTTGTGCATGAATGTGTGTGTGTTTGTTGTTGGGGGACCCAGATGGGAGGGGTATCTTTATCCCTGCGAGGAAGCCTATTTTTGGTTTGATTTGAATAATTTATGATAGTGCTACATCAGCAGAATTCAGATCAGGGTGAAGCAAAAGCTCAAATCACCGTGGAAATGTTTCCAGTCCCCAAAGTCCTTTTAATTTAATTCAATTCATATTATTCTTTACAGCCCGGAATCACAAATTACAAATTTGCCTCAGAGGGAAATTCCTTCATTCCAGTGTTACACATTGCATTGATGTTACAAGTCTTGCTTAAAACAAGGCACGAATGCTTTAGATCCTGATACCATTCATGTGCCTTTGCTGGAGCACTAGGAGTGTGTTTGGGTGCACGAGATCATAAAACCTGTGGAACATTCCACAGTGGCTCATAAGAGGGCCTCACTTATACAATCAATCCTCAGCCCGTTCTTCAGTTTGTAAAATGCATGCATGTTAACTCAATGTATATTTGACAATCTTATTAAACCGCGTGGCAGTCAGTGGCCTAATGGCATAGTTTTATATGCCATTAGGTGAAATAGGTATTGTATGTACATTGGGATATCTACGTTGATTGGATTTGTCTTATTTTCTGATGTATTTAAGTCTAAGATGTTCTCAATCATAAACATTGATTTAAGACCCTCAGATAATAAGGGCACTTCCAGAAGTATATAACTATATAATAAAAATAACACAATGGACAAATTAACACGAAACCGCAGATGTAAAAAAACAAAAGCCGTTCATGCTGTTCACTATTTACTGACAAAGTTCAACCTGAACTCTGATTAAACACTAAGATCTGCTCACTCGCTTCCTGTTTGACTAAAGTCACGCTGTTCTACTGACCAATCACGGCGCACGTTAATGCTGCGTGCGCTGCACCGTGATGCAGACGTAGTCATGAGGCCGCCGCGGTACCGCTGGCCCATCGAAGAACACAGCCCTCATGTCAAACTAAAGATCCAATCGGTTGATGACAATCAACGATATTCTTCTTCAATCTCTATACACTTTAATGTGTAAGGTCCACCTAGGGGACATCGGGCCCCTCTCACATAGAGACACAGCGGCTGAATCTGATTGGATAAACGCCCTCTTTAGAAAAAGCTGCAGGCTGTATGCAGAGCAACAGAGGAAGACAGGAGCTGTGCAATGAGAAAATATGGTAGTGGAAAAATAACTATAACACATGTACTGAATTAAAAAAACAAGAAAAAGATAGAGAAGGCTGAGCTGCCAGCCTCCCTGCTGTGTATTTGTAGGTGTTGCACTTCATGTAACATTTTATTTGACTTTGTAGTCCTTAAACACAACCCAAGGTAACCCCCATGATATCCTTATAAGATCACCAGGGATATTTTGTCGGACTTGACAAAGCTATTTTCAAACCACATATCTCATTATGCAAAGCAGAGCCACAACGATAGTGTTATGCAATAAGTAATTAAGTTGAAATAAAATAGGCAGATTTTTACCAATCTCTTAATGGCCAAAGGTGCATGCGTTAAAGATTACGATGCACATGTGAAGATGTAAATCTGAGATTTAAGTTACTAAACCTCTGCTGTCTGTCTGAGCATGCTTATATATGCCATCGGTTTCCATCAATGCATCCTGAAACCTCTCGGATAGCAACATGCGTGGTGTGGGCAGATGTGTTGCCTGATAATGATTCTTTTTTTCAAAGCAAGGTGTCTCAATCTGTTTGTGTTTTCCGGAGAGATGATTGATGACGTATTAAGCTCATGCTTTCTGCCTGATCCCCTCGCCAGGGATCATGTGAGCAGAGTAGTACAACCGTGCCGTCTCACTTCCCCCCTCAGTGGCACACACACACACACACACTCACACACTCAAACACACACACACACACACACACACACTCACGCACACGCACAGATGCTGGTTGACTGGTTGTGATTTTTTGATTAAATGAATGTCCTGAAATGGACAAAACTTGGACACTATAGCAGAACCTTTCCAGTAGCTTACTCGTAGTAACAAGTGAGCTTGTGTGGTTTGATGAATGGATTTTTTTGTATCAGCTGCTGCACACGAAAAGACAGTATGATGCGTATTAACATTGTGACCAGTGCCTGATGCGTGTTTGTTGAAACGTTCCTCTCACTTAAGCTTCAATTGTAACCCGGCCGCGTCCCTGCAAACAATGCTAATGTGTGTAGAAGAACACTTACCAATGTTACCACGGCGTGTCCAGTCATGATGTCATAAATCATGTGGTTCGCTGTCAGTAGACCGTTTACAGCCAATGGATCCAAACAACAAAACAAATCATTTGGATCTGCCTGCATGGTTTTAAGTGAATGTGTAGCAGAAATGATCTTATGACTGCAATTGTGTAATTGTGGCTTTAAATGTCACTCTGCGTGACTCTCTCACACACACACACACACACACACACACACACACACACACACACACACACACACACACACACACACACGCACACACGCACACACACCACATGTACAATACATCGTACATACCATTTCACTTTAACGACTGCACTTACACCAACAGTTGTAGGTATGAATTGTTTCAAATAAGCTGAAGCCAGTTGGAGACGAGCACATTGTTTGGAGTTTGATGGTCTGTTGGCAGCGCGTTAAAGGTCCCGAGTCCAAGTCCCACTGGACACTCTGAGCTTTGTCTGCAGCCACACTGGAGAAACAGTGGGAGTTAACTGCGTGTCTGGTGAATTGTTCATCCAGGAGAAATTCATTTCAAAAATCAAATAAACGTTTTAATTCAAGATTGTATTTCTGATGGGACGAATGGTAGGGCTACAAAACGAACTACGAAGTATTACAGTACTTGTTAATATCCGGTCTTCTCACTGATTGTCTCCTTTGATTATTTAGGTCATTTAGATGCAGAACAGAATTACAATTAAGACTATTTCACAACTGAACAAATGTTATTTACAGTGACTTCAAGGGGAAACTCCACCAATTTAAGACTAAAAAGTCAGCGCTCAAGTCACGGTGATCACTACTCAGAACAATTGGTCAGTCTTCTGTGGCTCTGGAGGAGCTCAATGAATTTCCCAATATACTGCTGAATCTCTGAACTTCGCTTGGGACAGAAATCCTGCACAACTAACTGGATCTTGTCAGATGTAGAATACCGGATAGAAAATGGCCAGTCAAAAAATGTAATATTCCTCACTGTAGTGAGGAATGAGGAATGGGGCAAAGTTCTGATTTGTACAAGCGTGTCCAAAACTCTGTGTGCACTCTAGTATGACAGCTCTATTACAACAATAACTCTTATCTGTGTTGAATTTTTGTTCATCTGCGCCAGTGAGGGAAAAGCAGTTTGACAGCAGATGTTACACAGTCCACATGAATACGAGCGCTCAATGTGGTGTAACGGGGCTTTCTGGTGAACTCTGTGGAGGTCGGTCCCTGAGTTATGCTCCATTGACATTTGTGCAGAAGACCCGACCACTGCTGGTCTTTTGCACACTTGTCGTATAAGTTTCAGCTGGTTGCAATCTGCGACATCATCACTAGATGCTGCGAAATTGTACATCGTGGCCCTGTAAATAACGATAAAGTACTGATTACTCAAAAGTCCCAGTCCTATGCTGTACAAGCGTTAAAAGGATGAACTGTTCTCGTGTTGAATGGGATCACACATTCAAAGACTGCATGAAGCAAAGAGGACATATCACAGACACACGGAAAGAAGGGATTGTCTTTTTGACTCAGTGTGTTTGTCTCACTGCAGGTCTCCTCGAGAGCAGCATGCGCCTGAAGCCACACGAGGCCCAGAGCTACAGGAAGAAGGTCCTCTGGGTGTCCTGGTTCTCCATCGTGGTCACGCTCATTCTGGCGGTGGCAGCCTTCAGTAAGTTTTAAAAATACTCATCGATAGACATGCAACTCGAGCTGTATACCAGTGTGTGTGCGGTAACAAGGCGGTGGCAGTTTATTTCTCACTTCCCTGTTGACTAAGCGGAGAGCTGGTCATGCAAACCTCTGTTCTGGTGATGCAAACACAGTTTTAGGAACCTCTGTCTCACAATGTGAGGTTGGATGGAAGGCATGTGGTCTGAGAGCCACATCGTTTTCACAAATGCTTTTGAGTGGAACAATGTCAACCCGCCACTCATTGAAAGTTATTCATGTGGTCTAAGACCAGTGCAAAAGTGTTGGTAAACATGAACCACCCAATCAGCCCCCCCAGTTATTGTCTCTGGAGCAGCCACATACACTTTATATCTGATGACATCACAGGTTTGAGTCTTCCTCCTCTGGTTTCTGGCTCACAGTGAGGAGCTCACATTCACAGATATTGATTGAAGGCTCCTGGGCCATGGAAAGGACATGTTTAAACTGTTAATTGAGGCGCTGTTCCCTTTTACGGTAAGAGAATGGAGCAGAACAGCACAGATGTTTCATGGGTTGAATCTGATTTCCACGATGCTTCTAACTGCTGATATGTGGTAAACCGTCTCCCAGTAACCCCTCTGATGTTGTGAAATGATGTGGAAACAGTTTCCTCCATTACGTTGTCTTATCTGTTGTGAGTGTGACATGTAGTTTTGCTTTGTCATCCTGGCTAAGCATCAGTTTAAAGTGGCAATGGGCCCTAATCTGTTCAAACGTATCCTTGATGTGCTGACTGCTTCTGCTATTGGTTTTAAGCAATGCAGCAGCATGGATTCACACTAAGCACCACGTACGCTTAGACAAAGCCTCATTTTCTATAAACAGTTTAATCTCAATTATTCAACTCTAATGTAATATACTGACCAATTTATTTGAACTAGTGCAAAGGTTAAAGTATGTATATATATATATATATATATATATATATATATATATATATATATATATATATATATATATATATATATATATATATAATTTAATCAAGCTTCTCCTATAAATATGGGTCCTCCATATGTGACTTCTGGTGTGTGAAGTTTTGCTGTTTGATGTGACAAACCCACTCAGAATAATAAGGGGACTATAAAGTTCATTGGCTTTGAGGCGTTATTGCATCTGGTGTCTGGTTGTTTTAGCTGCACGCTAATAAGAAGGGAACAAAACTACTTCTTGCACTAATTCACTTGCGAATCTGGAGTCCTGGCCAACTCACAAATGGGAAATGAGATAAACCGGCCATTTTTTTTGTTTTGTTCTATATGAGAAAACATTTTACTCAACCATCCATTCCAATTCTTCTTCCCTTATCACAAGCATGTTCATCTGAGCATCGGATCCCACTGCAAAGGTGCACCACACTTTTCCCACAAGCCCATCAGAGCCGGCTTGGCGTTCTCAGGAGGGCTCGTAGAGAGACAGCCTCTTAAATGGAGCAGGTGAATGCAGGTACAGGCTGACAGTATAAGAACAATTATAATTTTTTGTTCTAGTAGAAACCCCAAATACTAAATAAAAGCATTAACATGAAAGTGAGCATTATATGTCCCCTTTAACTGTTTTATTATGCTGTCATGGCTCTAATAGTGTCTCCTTTTGGCAGCACCAAGCAGAAGGTATTTTCCCCAAACAAATAAAGTTAGAAATTGGCAAACTTTTCTTAAAAGTTAGAAAGTGACACAAAATTGAGCTTAAAGTAAAATAGTCTGTAGGGTCTGGGGGCCCAAATAATGGCCCCAAATTAATAATAATACAACTTAAAAGTGTGATGAAGCCTTTTTGGTTCTTCATATGAAATAGTTACATAAAAATATGAAAATCTTTTGCAAAACCGTTGCACGGAGGCCCGGAAGCAGACTTTTTGTTGAAAGTTTGATCTTTCCTGCATGGAAAGGGGTCAAAAAGGGGGAACGAGCCGAGAGGCTGCGGCCTGAAGAGGAGAGCGCGTAGTGAAAGGAATTATAGCGGGGAGACAGATGGATAAGGAGGTGTGGAGTGAAGCTCTGAAAGGTGCAACGGCACCAGGGGGACGAGGCAGGATGAGTCCTGGCACGCGCCGTTGGGGATTTAGTGGTTATGATGGCTCAACTTTAAAGAGCAGCATCGTGCCATTTCCTCCCGACTGTGCCCTATTTTCTCTTTCTCCCATCAGCTTGTTTCCTTACCCTCTTTCCTTAGCTCCTCTGTGTGTGCTGTCTCTCCGTCCTACCTGGGTTTGACTCGTTTAACTAGACCCTTCTACTATAAGATTGTTTCTCAAACGCTGTCCCGGCTCTTCTACATTTTTTTTCTTCTAGTGGAGACGTTTTAGTAAAGCAGGATGAAAGCTTTTACTCTTTTCGTCTTTTTTCACTCCTCTATGTCTGTTTCTAAGCAAAACTGCAAACAGCCTCTGCTCGCCTGAACTTCAGTAGTAGTTTAACATTTAGAAGGGGCAAAGGTTCAGGTCCCATCCTTTCATGCTCCACTCGAATGCTTCGTCCCTAACTGGTCGCTCTATTGCCGCTTTAGCTGGCAACCTTTCCTGCAGCAGCCGTCTCTCGTCCTCCCTCGGCTACGGCCGCTCACCTTTGAGAGAGTCTGGGAGGCTTTTTCAGACACACCAGGCTACGCACATATATCTACACATATGCTTCATTTGACATGTTTTGTTTTTGGGTGTCTCTGTATTAGAGCATTTTCATTATACCCTTGTGGTCTTCTGACTTACGCAATAGACTAGAAATCTGCCATTGGTCAGATTTCTCATCCATTATCTCCTCCTCTTTTGACGCATCTTCACTCCGGTCAGGTCAAACACAGATCTTCAGTACGCCTTCAGCGAGTCAACAAATGAGTCACGTGACTGACGACACAAGCGACTTACGTGAACAGTGGCGGATGGGAGTTTTGTGCGGGACATAAACAACGGACTTCTCGGCCCCGTCTGCTTATTGCCCTGAATACTGCGTCGGTTGGTCTGAGCGTCAACAATGTCTCTGTTGATTTTAGTTTTCTGAAAGCACGCTGAGCCAAGACTCTTCTGGCTCCAAACAAGCCAGAGCTTTTTTTTTCTCCCTCCCAATACCAGAATGATAATATGTGGAGCCAAACCTTTTCCTCAGATCGTTCTGGCAAAGCAAAAACTTCCTCTGTGCTGAATTATAGAAAGTATTCTCATTAAAAATCCCAACCTAAGGAATGTAGATGAATAAAAACTGTTTCATTATCAGGTAGAAATGCATTTTTATTAAGCTCGCTAACTGGCCGACAGGAAAAGCTGTTCCAGATTCAACAAGGAGGAGCCTCACAGCGTGTAGGAGGCGGCTTGGCGACTAATAGGTTGCCGCACAATCAATCAGCGGCTTTGCCAACGAGCATGTCATGTTCGAACGGCGTGTGGCGGGAGTCAGGGAGGGAGGGAGGGAGGGAGGGAGGGAGCAAGGGGGCAGGTGTGGGAGGGCGATAGAGCACAGAGAGGGAAGAAACTGAGGCAATGTGGAGTAGAGAATATAATAAAACATGAGCATAAAATAGGAAGAAAGCATGAGGACTAACTTAGATAATCTAGAGAGGGTGATCGTGGAACAAGAAGATATGGAAACATATGGGTGGAAATGAGGCACAATGCAAGAGAGATTATTAAGGAATATAAAGCGGAAAGCAGTGAAGAGAGAAACCAAGAAGCTCTTTTTCTCTCCTTCTTGTTTCCCCCCTTGTGTCTGCGCAGCAGAGCTGTAATCACTGGATTCAACCCAGATACATAAAGTACACGGTTATAAATATCCATCTATCTGTGCCGAGACTGTGTCACTGCATGAAGCCGTAGCTGAGACATTTATATTTACGTCTACGTGGTCGCGTGTGAAAACTGAGCATTTTTCTTCTCAGCCTCCATTTCTGTTTAAGAACGTACTTGTCTATTTCCACGCCGTGGTTTCACCGGGCCGTCAGTGATGAAAGCAGCAGTAGAAAAAATAATTTGTGTCAAGTGTTTTCTCATAGGTGCTACCAATATGTTTCAAATCATGGGTCAAAGCAGTTCCCAACAAATCCACAATTTACTCCTCAAAAACTACGGTGCTCAGCTGTTTTTCCTTCTACCTCTGTAATAATTCAACCTCATACGTGACGACTCATTTCAGAAGATTCACGTCTCCATAAGAAACTGATGAGCTCGAGGCTACTGTGGAAAATACCGAGAGACAACGGATAATGGATTATGGTTTTCTTTTTTTTTGAGGGATGTATTGACAATAAAGCAATTATTCCATCCTTATCCTTTGAATAAAATGGGACTCGAAGAGTGACGTGATTTGGTCACACCAAGAATAATGAAATACTGTGTGTAGAAGAGAATGGACGTGTTTGGAACTAAAACAGAAGACGTCCGTAACTGCGACGGAACATGTGATAACAGTTGTTAATGTCAACGCTCCCTTGTGGTTATTAGACATCGGTCTGCTGACTCCTCTGACGGTTCCACTCTCTCATTTGCTGAAAGAAGAACACATCCAGGGCCAAAACAAATGATGAATACCACAGAAGGCGCAGGGTACACAATAGAGATGTTTGCATCAGCTGGTGCCTGCAGCCCATTCATCATATCTGGGCGTACCAAAGTCCCCCCCCCCCCCCTTTCTTGCTCCAATTCCACCTCCCCGATCCTTCAGTCGCACTCCTGTTTTCCTCTTTCCTTTCTCCTCCTTCGTTAGCACTTCACTCTCCCTCCCTCCCTCCGCTCTTATCGTACACCTAAAGTCTGCCTCCGCGTACAAAACATAATCATTTATTCATCTATTTTCCCTCCGTCCCTCTGCAGTCTATTTTTACTGATGAATAGCAAGTTGCCAAAGGGGAAGCTGCCAGGTGATGTGGCGTTTGAGTGAAAAATCAGAGTCATTTACTGCTCGTTGGATCTCTGCAACCTCCTTTAACAGTGCTTTTTTTACCTTTTTATTTTCCTTCCTGTGTTACCTT